CCCTCGGCCCGGACGCGGACGCTCCTCCAGCCCGTCTGCCTTCAGACTTGGGGCTGCGAATCGCCGCCGGCTCAGGGCCGGCTGTCCGTGTCGCCCGAGCGAGCGGGATGGAGCGAGCCGGAGGCTGAGGCTGGTGCAGGGTTGTTACTCGCCATGGTCTTCACTGCCGCCACTGCCGCAAAGGTTTGGGGCTGCGACTGCTCCCTGCATTGCTGGATAAACCAGTCCCAAGGTGCTCCCGCTGGGGTCCCTGCCAAAATTACCGAGGGTCTTGCGTGCTTTTGCAGACCCGGGTCTTGTCTCCAATAGCCCATGCGCCGGCGTGGAGCTGTCACGCTGGCAGCCCCAGGAGGCTGCAGTGCAGCTCAGGTAGGAGAGCCGAAACGCTGAGTGGGGACCGCACGTCTTCGAGACGCAGCCGCAGGAGCTGGCGGCAGCATCCCTCGCTGCCCAGAGCTCCACAGCTCCAAGCCAGAAACACATGGACTTCACACTCCCAGCCCCGAAAATCCTGCCTAGATGCATCCCTGGACACATCCAGGAGCAATGGGAGCTTTCCTTCCTCTCCTGCCCTTCCCTTTCCAGGAATAATGAATTCCTGCCTTCCCCTGGTGGGAGACAAAAGATAATTAGTGTTTCTAGACAGCTGAGGCCCGCCTGCCAAACTAGCGGCTCAGGCACCGCTCGCGCCTCACCCGGCTTGTGCGTGGGGCGTGCGGGACGGCGGCGTCCCTCAGCAGGCTCCCCTCCCACAGACAGCCCAGGAGCGGGGTCTTGCCGGCTTTGCACGTTCCCCAGCATCGTCTCTGAGCATGGTGGCCACCCAGGTAGGGACGTTCCCTGCCCTGCCTGGCTCTTGCGCTTCGGTTACGCAAGGAGCAAAGACTTTTTCTGCTCAAGGAGGACTCCTGCCTGCTGCATGCTGCCGGCTCCAGCAAGGGCACCTGCTGCCGAGAGCCCTGCTAGGTGGCTTTGCCTCTGTCCAGGCTGGGCTCTGCATGTATTTGCATTGCTAAGTTGCACCGATGGGGCGGAATCAGAAACCCCCTGCCTTTGGGGGGGGAACGTGTCACACCGCTGCTACGAGCTCGCCATGCTCCTCAAGCCTGGGGGAAACCCCTGGCAGCCGGGGGACTCCTCGCGTTGCAGCCCCGGGGGAGACCGCTGTCAAAGCCCAGTGCACATGTTTCCCTCAAGTGTAAGAAGAGAAATCACCGACCGCCCCCGGGGCACATTGCAGCAGCCAGCTGGGCTCCCCCAGGGAGCAGAGGGGCAGGAGGAAGGAGACCTACGTCTTCCTCAGAAAAGCGGCCTCTGAGCAGCACTGGGGAAGGGGCCTTTGGCGCTGCTGCAAGGCTCCTGTCTTGCCTGTTACAGCCACTGTGGCCTCCAAGATCGTGCAGAGATGTGTGGGCATCTGACCCTGCTGTGCCTAAGAGCTGGGAACATCTTTGAAAACCTCATGCCATCTAGTGGGACCTTCATTAACGACAACCTCATCAAGCCCGAGGAAATCTCTGCCGGGGTCTGCACGCCTTTGGCCGGCGATGGAGCGCAGGGTTTGCCGGTGCGGCCTCTGCGGCTGCCCCGCCGGGGCGGTCACAGGGCGACGGTTCCCAGCAGGCGGCAGAGGGACTTTCAGACATCCCAGCCGAGCTCGGAGCAGGAGGCTATGCAAAAGCAGCAGCGTGGCCCTCGCTCTAGGGTGCGCAGCTCTGTGTCACCAGCGAGACCGGCACCGCTCCTGCAGCTGCTGGAAAACGAGCTCTGGGCACAAAACTGCATTTTTAATTAAACAGTGCATTTAATGAGAAGTGAAAAGTCAATTTTGATTAAAAATAAAGGGAGCGCCTGGAAGCCAATATGGTTTCCCTGGGGACTAACGTGTTGGTTTGAAGCGGGGCAGCCCCTACCCCTCTGGGCAGCCGGGCCTGTGTCTCCTTCCCATGCGGTCCAGGCAGGACAGTGAGCGCCCCACCTGCGGCAGTGCTGTGGGGCCCCAAACCGCAGCTCCCCCGAGCACCAGCCAGCTCCCACCGGGCAGAAGTTTTGCAGCCAGAATACTTCCTTTAAAGAAACCCTGCTCGTCCACAACTCTGGCTGTCAAGCCCAGCGAGTCCTTCCACGCCGTGCGCAGCATCGGCACGGAGCGACGGCTAGGGGATGCATCTGCTCGGAGCGGACACGCGTGGGCTGCGTGGTCACAGGGGAGATTTGTGTGTGCCCTAACAATACTTGGAAAAACATCCAGCTAAGCATTTTGCTACCGGTTGCCCAAATGCTCCATGCCAGGCACCTGCAGGAGGTCCAGATGGGTCCACTTATCTGGTGGTGGTGGAGGTGGTGCTGGCAAAGCCGCAGTCCATCCGGCAGTGCACGGTGAGGTACCACAGAGAGATGAAGAGACCTGTGGGTGGAAACACAGGATGGCCCATCAGTCCCTGCCATCCACCAGGATAACCAACAGGCAGCTTATCGATCACCCACAGTCCTCCAGGCTCTTGTGGAGCACAGGGTCCCGGCCCATCACTCATCCCTCCCAACGCAGGGAGAGCATGGAGCTTGTGAGGACCCCGCTGCTCCCAAGGCATGGGTTTTTCCCCAAAAGTGCTCCCACTGACCTTGCAGGGAGTTGAAGAGGGTGAAGAGGTAGACTTGGGGGACGAAGACGACATCGAAGCTGAAGAAGGCCACACCCCAGGTGGTGCCCAGCAGGCAGGTGAGCCCCAGCACCGTTGCCCAATCCTTCCTCGCCGTCTCCTTCTGGCGCTGGCTGCTCCTCAGCATCCTCACAACGGTGAGCAGCACCAGGGTGTTGAAGAGCAGGATGAGGCCGGCATAGCACAGGGTGCTGTAGTGAGCTGCCCGGCTGGTGAGCCAGCACCTGCATGAGGGAGTCCATGCCGTTGGGGAGAGCTAAGAAGCGCCTGGGGGCAGCAGATCCAGCCAGGAGTGGCCAGGAGGGATATTTGCTTGGGGAGAAGGGCTAATGTCCCCTGAGAAGGGGTTTTGGGGGGCTGAGTGTGCACAGAAAAGCACAGGGAGGGGGACAGGCCTGCGTTGGCAGGGGGGACAGTGCCGCGTGGTCACAGCTCAGCAGCAGAGGAAGGGAGGGATGGAGCTGTCCTCCACGTGCTTCCCAGCATGGCTGCGCACGCTGGACATCCAACAGCACCCACACATGGGTGCCTCTGGCAGGGGATGATGTCCCCAAAGCTGCTTTGGGGTACACTGAGCCGTGGCAGGGAAGGGGAACAGCAGGAGATGCCTCCCCATGTGCGTGGAGAGCCCCCTGTTTCAGGGAAATGGCCACGCTCAGATAAACAGTCACCCTGCAGGGAGGAGGAGAAGGTTCCTCCTCCAGCCAAATCGCTTCTGCTGGGCCTCATCCCCATGTCAGCAGAGTCACGGTGGCACCCAGGGACGCTGCATGCCTCCAGCACTCACATCGTAGCATTTTTGTAGCCATCAGTGGTTTTGATGTCAAGGCATCCATAGGCATCTCTTTTGAAGAGCAAAATGCTAATTACTGCTAACGCTGGCAGACCTGTGGGTCAGGAGACAGAAAAGGGTCAAGGGAGAAGAAAAGGCAAGAAATCCCTGCCGTGCTCATCAAAGAAGGGGCAGAAGAGCTCAGAGGGCCTGCAGACGGCAATTTCCGCAGCACGAGGCAGGGGTCCCAGCACATGGGCATTGCAGAGTGCCGAGCACCATGGCAGGGATCTCCAGCAGGAGTGAGCCCCTTGGCCCATGCAACAGCCCCCATGCTCGTCCCCTCCACTGACCCTGACCACCTTCCTGGTGGACCTACGACCATCCCCCATTGCCCACTTCCACCCATCGGTGCTAATGAGGACCACTGTGGCAGCGGCAGGGACCGAAGAGGCTACACTCACCCCAGCCAAAGAGGCAGAGCTTGAGGAGGTAGTGCCGGACATAGATGTTGTAGACCTTGATGAGGAGGAGGTAGAGGTGGAAGGCCTCAGCTGCCATCCAGGCCAAGGTGCAGAGGAGGCAGCCATGCAGGAAGGCAGCTGCAGCCCGGCACAGTCCCTCCGAGGCCAAGGCCAGCGGCTCACTGAGCAGGAACCCACTGTTCAGGAGGAAGAGTGCACCCAGCAAGTTCATGTGGATTTTGGTTGTGTCATCACTCTTCTTCCTCCTAAAAGATGGGGAAAAAGAAAAATGGTGATGCTGGAGTGCTGGGAAGCCTCCACCTGGCCCCCTCCAGTTGGGAAAGGAGAGCTGGTGCTGACGCCGCAGTGCCTGGGGCCAAGGTGGCCACAGCCACAGTTACCTGAAGATGCAGCACAGGAGGACAGTGAAAAGCGAGGCAGCAGCTGAGATGGAGCAGCCCACGATACTGATGTAGGTGAGAGACACTAGCTCGGCCTGGCTGATGTTGCCTGGTGTGATCTGCCCGGAGGAGGAGAGGAGGGCCAGGCTTAGGAGCCAGCAGCGCATGGCCCCGGCGTGAATGTGCTGACCCCATAGCAGTCACGGCATTGCACCCTATCGCCGATGGCCCAGAGAAGCTCCGCTCCCCCAACAGGGCACCTTTCATCAAAAAATGAAGTGCTTTAGGGCAAAAGAGCCCAAAGAGGGATTGGACCACAGTGAAGGACCAGCCTTTACAAGGGATTAGTTAGGTGAAAATGCCCAGACAACTCATGGGCGTCCATCCTACCAGCAGCACGGCGAAGTAGGTGAGGTGGTTGCAGCGGCACAGGACGGTGCCCTGGCTGTGCCTGGTCTCGCAGCCCTCCGAGCTCCAGCTTCCCAAGTCCCCACTGCCTGCCGGGGAGAGAAATGCCATCAGAGAGGCAGCCAGGGGGTCTCAAGGACACCCCACGGAGCTGACGAAGGTGAAGGGATGGGTGCCCAGGCGAGGGCTCAGCACCCCTGACCCAGCCCAGCTCCACGTTCACCCTCCTCTCTCAGTGGGAGCTGCCCCAGGGCTGTTCAGAAGTGCCTCTGAGGACAGCAGCACTGAGGTCGCCTTCCTCTGCTGCCCCAGCCACCGACGCGCTTACCGGCTCCCTGCAGCCAGGAGACGCAGGTTGCGTTGGAGGTGTCCTGGTGGGAAGCACAAGGAGGAGGTCACTGACGGGGAAGCAGGAGGTTAGAGATAGGGCAGGGTCTGTGCTCCTCAAGGAACCCCCCAGCTGCAAAGTAATGTCCTGCTCCTAACGCAAAGCGGTGAAAATCTTATTTTGTCTGAACTCAAAGGAAAATCCTGGTGCTTGGGGTCACCCTCGCACCCCTCACGGGTGTGATGCTGTGACCAGCATCATGCACACCTGGAATGGAGCTATGCCGCTTCGCTCCACAGAACGAGCAATATTTGATGTTCAGACCCCGTGGTCAGGTCTGTCCCTTTCCTTCCAGCTCCAGTCCCTCCTGAAGCATCCCACGTGTCAGCGGCCTCCAGGCAGCAGGGCCGGTCGGTCGGTCACTCACCAGCACTTTGTCGTGCTGGAACTGGATCTCCACAGGCTGGGGGAGGTTGGTGACATAGACTTTTGGGAGGAAGGCTCCCAAGATGTTGTCGTTCAGCACAGAGCTGTTGCGTGCATCCTGCAAAGAGTTGGGGTGCCTGTCAGTTTGCGGGGCGGGGGGAGCGAGGTTCTTGCTGGGCTGCTGGATGCGGCTGCTCTCAGGACACTGGAGAAAAGCCACAAAGGACATCTCCTGGGGCTGCCCTCACTCCTCCCCGTCGCCCAGGCGCGAAGCTGCAGCGCGCGGCTCACCTGGAAGATGCAAGGGCTGTGGATGTAAATGCAGACGAGTTTCTGCTCGACCTCTCTTGCCTGGATGCCCTGCATGAGCTCTGCTGGGAAGTACATGGCGTGCTGGACCCGGATCTCTGTTTGCTTTCTGTTCTGTGCCTGGCGAGGAGGAGGAAGCTTGGCTGAGACA